ACCTGGCTCTGCCTCCTGAGTGCTGGGATTAAAGGCATGTGCCACCACTGCCCCGCAAAATAAGGCAATTTAACAACATGTTTTGTAAAATGTGCCAAAACGGGCTGGAGAGATGACTCAGGAGTTAAGAGCACTGGCTGTCCTTCCAGAGGACCTGGATTCAGTTCCACCATCCATATGGTGGCTCACAACCACTTGTAACTCCAGTTCGAGGAATTCAATCCCTTCTGGTCTCCAAAGGCAGTGCACTCATGTGCACACAGACACACAGAGACATACACATAATCAAAAACAGTACATCTTTTTAAAAAGTGCCAAAATGTATGTGTGTATGGTTAAGTGTGGGCCATCTTAGCCACTGTGATGGGAAATAAACCCATTTCCCTATCTTCTGAAGCATGAGCTACCAAGGTCTCCCTTAGAAAATGTTCTCTCAGGTGGAGACTTTGGCTCACTGCCTAAGGGCACTGGTAACACCCACTCGGTGGCTAGCAACCACTGCAGTCCAGTTCCAGGAGATCTGACGCCCTCTTCTGGCTCCTGCAGGCACCTGCACTCATATCATGTACACACACATACATGCAGACAAAACACTTATGCATATAAAATAAAAATAAACAAATCTTTAAAAGCACGCAGGACAGAGGAGGAGATAAAGAATAAGAAGAAAAATAAGAACCCAAGTCCTCACCTCTCCTAATCCTTCCAGGGCTCTCAGCACGATGAGGGCCACCACTCCCAAGTCTGCAGCCATGGGTGTGAACAGAGTTAAGACAGAAGTGCCCAGGATGCCAAGGCCCAGCAGCAGCTTGCCTCCAATCCTGCTGGCCATGTACCCCCCAGGAATCTGTGTGATGATGTAGCCGTAAAAAAAGGAGCCAAGAATCCACCCTTGAGTTTCTGCATCCCACTGGTACTTTTTACCCTGTGAAAAAAGCAGAGAGAAAAACAATCTTTCCGACTTTGAAATTTTGAACTATTGTTTTGAACTGCAGAACATGCAAGGTGTTTGTTTGTTTGTTTGTTTGTTTGTTGTCAACTTGACACAGGCTAGGATCATGTGGGAAGAAGGAACCTCAATGGAGAAAATGCTGCCATCACACTGTAGGAAAGTCTGTGGCATTTTAATGATTGATGATTTATGTGGGAGGGCCTAGGCTACTGTGGGCAGATGGTCCTGGGCTAGAAAGAGCAAGCTGAACAGGGTGTGGGGGAACTCCTCTGCGGTCCCTGCTTTGGTTCCTGCCTCCAGCTTCCTACCTTGAGTTCCTGCACCGACACCCCCTCATGACGGACTGTGAGCTGTGAGATGAAATAAATGCTTCGCTCCCCAAGCTGCTTTCTGTCGTGGTGTTCATCACAGCAACAGAAACCTAACTAAGACAAGCAAGCTTTCTAAGGCAGGCGGGCCATGACAACATGCAGTTTCCAGAAGCGAGTGGGCAAGAACGGAAAGCCATGGACTTCTGGAAGCTTGCTGCTCTGTGACAGTAAACTAGAAGAGGGGATGCAGAGGTTCTGTCACAACTGCCCCGGGCTTGGGGTGGGCTGTGGTGACACATGCCTTTAATGTCAGCACTCAGGAGACACAGGCACAGGTAGCTCTGGATTATGTCCGGTCTACACAGTACTATACAACGAGTTCCAGGACAGCCAAGGCTGTGTAGAAAGACCCTGTCTCAAAACAAATAAACAAACAAACAAACAAACCTATCCAACAATGTCCTGGAGAAACTACTTACTAAGATATAAAACAATCCAGCTTTCTGAGGTACCAATGAAGTTTCTTCAAATTTTCCTCAGGAAACTGATAAAGGACTTTCCAAACAGATCAATGTATGTGGTAGCTATACATCTTATAACTGTAAGTCAACTAACTGTTCAACTAACTCCCAAGAAAACAGAAAGAGATCTGAACCTGGGGAGAATACACACAAACAAATATTTTCGTTTCTTTCTGATAAAGGCATATTTTTTTCCATTATTTTTACTACTAAGTATTTCAGTATTAATCAATTTTTTTTTAAACAGCACTTACCGTATGATTGTGGTGAACTTTTATGGGGGCAGAATGTTCTGGACACTCCTTGGAAGTTCTGTTATCGGTCAGAGTTGTATTTGAATCTACCATGTCCACCAACGCAACACTCAGGTTCACACGTAACGAATAAAGAACGAAAAAACCAAAGAAAGCCAGAACCGCTAAGTTGTAACGAGCAGAGCAGCATGCTGGAGCTGAAATGAAGGTTGGGAGAAAAACTTTAAATCATATGATCTCTAAATAGTGAAAGGAAAAAACATTTAAATTTTATTTATTTATTTATTTGTTTTTTTCAAGACAAGGTTTCTCTGTGTAGCTCTGGCTGTCCTGGGCCTCTCTCTGGAGACCAGGCTGGCCTCGAATTCAGAGATCTGCCTCCCTCTGCCTGCTGAGTGCTAGGATTAAAGGAATGCACTACCACACTCCAAAGATTGATTTATTTTTATATCTTATGTATGTGTATTTTGCCTGTATATGTTGGTGTACTTATGTGTGCCCAGTGCCCACAGAGGCCGGATGAGGGTATCAGATCCCCTGGAACTGGAGTTATGAACTGGTTGTTAGCAGCCATGTGGAGGATGGGAACAGAACCCAGGTCCTCTGCAAGAGCAATTAAATGCTTTTTTTTTTTTTTTTTAAAAATAGTACTTTCAACATTTTTTTTTTTTTTTAGATTTACTTATTTATTATGTATACAGAAAAGGGTGCCAGATCTCATTACAGATGGTTGTGAACCACCATGTGGTTGCTGGGAATTGAACTCAGGACCTCTGGAAGAGCAGTCAGTGCTCTTAACCTCTGAGCCATCTCTCCAGCCCCAATTAAATGCTTTTAAACTACAGAGTCAGTGCTTCAGTCCCTCCCAAAGGCAATTCGTAAAGAAATATCCAAACTAATCAGTACTTTTTTGAATAGTCTCAGATTAAGCATGCCTTCACAGATTTGTCCAAAGACAATTTATTCCCTCTTACCCATAGTTTTAGTAAAAATTCAGCTGATGAAGATGTGGCATGAGGAAAATAGGTAAGGGTTTAAAAGCCTCACTATGCCTTTCCCTCTGTAACTGTAAGCAAGCCCTCAACTGACTGCCGTCTTTTCTAAGCATTGCCTTGGCCATGGTGTCTCTTCACAGCAATGGAAGAGTGACTAAGTCATGCTCCCAACTGTTGACTCGTCTCTCCAGCCACCAGAAAACCGTTCATTTGGTATTCCTGAGTCCTTTTTCAAGGCTATAGCTATTGTCCTATGGTGCTACTAGAATAGGTAGATACAAACTTATGAGAATTGTATTTCTAAGACTCTAGTCAAGTCTATAATTTAAATTTGAACAGTTTGCTGTTCGTTCCAATCAAAAGGATATCTCAGGGTGTGCACTACAGAAGAACACATTCCATCAGCACTTAAAAAAAAGATTTATTATGTATACAGTGTATACTGCATGCCAGAAGAGGGCACTGGATTTCATAACAGGTGGTTGTGAGCCACCATGTTGGTGCTGGGAATTGAACTCAAGACCTCTAGAACAGCCAGTGCTCTTAGCCTCTGAGCCATCTCTCCAGCCCCCATCATCACTTTATCAGGCTATATTACATGGGTGTTTGGAAGCAGAAGTCTAATCTCAAATTTGGGCAATTAAAATGTATCATCTTAGCTGGGGGTGGGGTGGGTGGGGGTGGGAGGGCGAGGAGGGTGGGGTACACCTTTAATCCCAGCACTCTGGGAGGCAGAGGCAGGTGGATCTCTGTGAGTTCAAGGCTAGCCTGGTCTACAGAGTGAGTTTCAGGACAGCCAGAAAACCCTGTCTCGAAAAAACCAAACCAAACCAAAAAAAGTGTTACTTTAAATAATTGGGGAAGTAGGCAGGTTTGAGTAAATTTTTTTTTAAAGATTTATTTATTTATTATGTATACAGCATGTATGACTGCAGGCCAGAAGAGGGCATCAGGTTTCATTGCAGATGGTTGTGAGCCACCATGTGGTTGCTGGAAATTGAACTCAGGACCTCTGGAAGAGTAGTTGGTGCTCTTAACCTCTGAGCCATCTCTCCAGCCCAGGTTTGAGTAAATTTAAAGGAGAAATTAATAGTCCTCAACTAAATGCTAGACGTGGGAGTAAAAGGGAGGGATGAGGGATTATCAATCCTCTTGCTCTCAACCATTTTATGTTACTCTTGCTTGTAATACCATTATTCCATTCCATCCCATTTTTATACACCTATCTTTTTTATTGTATGCTATTGGTTTTTCCTTAGGTAATGCTTGATTTAGACTATAATATACTTTATTACTTGTAGCACACTTTCTTGGACCTGCCAAGCCCCCAAATCATGACACAGTGACTTATTACTAATTATGAATGCTTGGCCTTAGCTTAGGCTTGTTTCTAGCTAGTTTTTTTTTTTAACTGAAATTAACCCATTTCTATTAATCTAAGTGCTGCCCCTAGGCTCATTTACCTCATCTACATACTATCCATCCTGCTTTCCTGTTTCCTCTGTGCCTGACTGTCCGTCCCCTGGCAGTCTGACCCCCTTTTCTCTCTGCCCACCAGCCTCACCTATCCCTCTTCTGCCTAGCTATTGGCCATTCAGCTTTTTATTAGACCAATCAGATGCCTTAGGCAGGCAAGGTAAAAAGCAACACATCTTTACATAGTTAAACAATTATTCTAGTTCACAACAATCACTCTTTTCCATCTCAATTTTTTTATTAGTTCTCCCCTCCTCCTTTTTTTTTTTTTTTTGTTTGTTTGTTTTCGAGATAGGGTTTCTCTGCATAGTTTTGATGCCTATCCTGGATCTCGCATTGTAGGCCAGGCTGGCCTCGAACTCACAGAGATCTGCCTGGCTCTGCCTCCTGAGTGCTGGGATTAAAGGTGTGTGCCACCACTGCCCGGCTATTTCCCTTCTTTTATTGTATGTCATTTGTTTCTCCTCAGGTCATGATTGGTGTGTCTTATAAGCCATTTTATCATGTGAATAAGATGTCGGTCTAGAGGTTGAGAAGTAAAAGAGGTGGAGAAAGAGCCGGCAACACGGCTCAGTGGTAAGGCACTTGCTTGTCTGGTCACTGAAACATGAGGAGAACCGACGTACAAGTTGTCCTCTGATTCCCCATCCCCAGTGACAACAAAAAAGAAGTTTTTAAAAGGTGATCAAGGGGCTAGAGATGGCTCAGTGATTAAGAGAACTGACTGCTCCTCTAGAAGGATTGGGTTTGATCTGAATTTGCAGCACCCACATGGTGGCTCATAATGGTCTGAAGCTCCAGTTCTGGAGAATCCGATGCCCTCTTCTGCTCTTCATGGTCACCGTATGCATATAGTGAACAGACATACATGCAGGCAAAACACTCATACACATAAATATAAATAAAAAAATGTAAAAGGTGAGCAAGACATTTCAAATTATTAGTGGTGATGTTAAAAAGTTACAGATCAGGCAACTTACACTTCTAAGGTACTGTCAATAATCAGAAAATAAAACACAAGACTATGAAGTTTAAAAGTTATACTAAGCTGGACAGTGATGGTGCACGCCTTTAATCCCAGCACTCAGAAGGCAGAGACAGGAGGTGAGTTCCAGTTTGAGGCCAGCTTAGTCTAGAGTGAGTTCCAGGACATCCCAGGCAGTTACATAGAGAAACCCTGCCTTAACAAAACAAAACAAACAAATAAAAAGTTATAGTAAAAATAAATTGATGCCAGGTTTATAAAAATGCCTGTGACTGGGGCTGGAGAGATGGCTCAGCGGTTACGAGTACTGACTGTTCTTCCAAAGGTCCTGAGTTCAATACCCAGCAACCACATGGTGGCTCACAACCATCTGTAATGAGATCTGGCGCCCTCTTCTGGCCTGCAGCCATATATGCAAGCAGAATACTGTATACATAATGAATAAATAAATCTTTAAAAAAAAAAATGCCTGTGACTGTAAATCTGTTTAGTTGGAAATATTTTTAGAAAGTAAACACATGCCTAGAAATTTGGCTACTCTTTGAAACTGATCCAAGGTAAAACAAGCTTGCGTGGCAGAAAGAGCCAGTCCACTGAATACCCACCACACTGAGTTCAAAGCAAGATCATGCTTGCATAACGAACAGAGCACTCCTCAAAACAAACACCAGCCCCTAAACCACGCTTTATAAACACAGGAATGTGAGTGGGTGTGACCGAGAACAAAGGGAAAGACCCAGGGTTGACTCTCAGCTCTTGCCATGTGTGTTTACAGAGTTACTTAAGATGAATGAGTGAAGTCACAACCTTCTCATTCTCAAGGTTTTCAGTTCTATCTGTGTTGGGGAGGTCTCTGCTCCCATTTGGAAAGTACATGTGACATCTCCCTTAAGCATGGGTCCCATAGGCTGAGAAACAAAGCTCAAGATAAAGGTGTCAAGATAAAGGAGGAAGAGTCTCAGATAAACATAAAAGCCTGGGGGAGTCAGGTGTGGCCTGGTCCTACTGGTCACCAGGCTATTAACTACATCCAATCCCAGATTTCTGGGCAGAAAACAGGTTATACACCTCTCCCTCAAGAGACAAGCCTGAGTGCTTAATAACCCTGGTTTCCCTAGTGTTTATCTATGAGCACAAAGACCTTGAACCCTCTACATTGCCCTACTTCTAAGTTTTAAAGAAAAAACCAGGGGCTGTAATAGAGATCATGGCTAAATGCATTGCCTCTAAGACTAGTCTAATTAATATAGGCAAGCATAAGAGCATTTTAAGAATAACTAACAGAGGCTGGGCGGTATTGGCCCACGCCTTTAGTCCCAGCACCTGGGAGGTAGAGGCAGGTGGATCTCTGTGAGTTTGATGCCAGCCTGGTCTACAGAGTGAGTTCCAGGATAGCCAGAGCTACACATAGAGAAACTCTGTCTTGAAAAACAACAAACAAACAAACAAACAAACAGACAGACAGAATAGCTAACAGAGGACCAAGGAAAGGGGAAAGGCACCTTAACCATGATGTCCATTCAAAGGTCACTTGAGAGATTTTTTGCCAATCTCTATGCAAATCATTGCTTTGACCCTCCATAGCATGAGAAAAATCTGACATATTAAAGCAACACACACTAGGAAATTGTTAATAACCAAGATTGTGTTTCAGCAACAAATAATTTATAGTAGCTCTGTTTTTGTAAAATTGTGGTTCTCAAATTACCCATCTCTTGATTAATTTCTGTTAATATTTTCCTGTAATATTAATAGTTTTACTAATCATACAGGTCATCTTTGAGACCTCTCTTTTGTATATGAGTAATCATTCCTGAGATTGGCAATAAAAAAGTCTATAAACAATCCTTAGCATGACCAAACAATATCATACTGTCTCCTACTACAGGTGTCTTTTTTATCCTCCAACAAAAAGGCATTTGGATTCTGTATTAACAAGCTGAGAATTAACATGCAATTTAGTCGGTAACATAACAGCATCATTTTTGGGTCAATAGTACTATAATCTTGTTGCTTCCTCAAAGTCTGGGCCTGATGAGTTAGTCTTGCTGTCTCCCCAAGTTATTGGCTGGCTTACTCCTCCTCTTGACGGGTCTGTCACCTATCTTTAGATGATGCATTTGTCTGGTGGTCTCCGGGATGCTGTCCTGTTTGGATGCATCAGAGGGGGAGCCATCCTGGACTTCATTCATTTTCTGGAAAGACATAAGCATAACCCCGACCTGATGCTAGAAGAACATTGGACCCTTACCATTGATTCGTTTCTAGACCTTTTCTTTTAACATATACTTTAGGCTGTGTCCCGTTTAAGACAAAATACTTTGGGGCAACAGAAAAAGCATTATCCTTTAAAGTGAAAAAATTCAAAGTTAGCATAGTTAACTAAACGTAGCACAGTACGTGGGGATCTGGGTGGGTATACCTCCTTTTATTTTGAAAATTTGCCAACTATGTATCTGATGGTGCCATTCCACAATAGCTTAAACCCGTGGTTTGTAAGGGCCATTAGTGACATGATTAATGGTCCATAAGTTGCAAACTTCTTTAAGGTGTTTGTTAGGACAAGCAGGACCATTACCACTTTTTAGTTGTAATGGGTCCCAGGAAGAAAATGTCTAGAGTTACTTGACAGAGTCAAGCCCCACATGTGGCCTAATGGCCCTCCCCTGGAGCTCCCAGTGCCTCGTGCTTCATCTGGGGCTGTGTTCTGTGGCTTCCTATTTGGGGAGAAGGACCATGCACGCCTGTAGCATACTGTGCATGCCACTAGTGCATTTCAGCACAGATCTCCACACCTGAGAGCAGAGAAGGCCCCGGACCCAGACAGCTGGAGTTTCAGACGTCAAGCTGACACAAACTCATTAATTATGCACCAGAAACTTGGAGTACCGTGTAAAATGATGCCTTCCGTAGAGGATGGGCTCTTGTGAGGCTCTTCTAACTTCCTCCCTTGCCAGAGTCTGGCCATTTATCAGACCAAGAGCAAGCACAAAACTTTTAGTTAAACAACGGTCTTAAACTTTAAAAGATTTAAACCAGAACTTAAGATTTAGATTTTTTTTTTAGTCCCCCCGGCCCCCTAGAATTAAGTTTTGCTCCCTCAGAAAAGTCAGGTTGAGTGATAGTCCGCTGCCTCTGCCGGCTCCCCTCAAACCCTGAGCTGCTGAGGCTGGTCCTCACAAGTTACTCCTGTTTTCCTTCTTAAATCTACTCCAAGCCTTCCTACATTGCTATTTTTAATTTTTTTTGTAATGTTGTACAAAAATACAAATAAAAAACAAATGAAATTTTAGTAATCATAAATACAAAGGAGTCTGGATGGTCTGGGTTCTCAGGGACTAAAAGGCCTGATGTGAGAAAGAAAGGCTCTAGGCCGGTGTGGGGGTGCATGTCTTTAGTCCCAGCATATGTGAGGCAGGGACAGGTGAGTCTCTGTGAATTCCAGGACAGTCACAGCTAGGTAGAGACCCTGTCTTAAAAAACCAACCAACAAACCAACACTCAGCAAAAACCACGCCACAATATATCAAGCATTTTGAGCCAGATGTGGTGGTACAGGCTTTTTACTCCCAGCACTGGGAGGCAGAGGCAGGTGGGGGAATTTCTTGAGTTCAATGCCAGCCTAGTCTACAGAGTTCCAGGACAGCCAGGGCTACACGGAGAAAACCTATGAATGTGTGCGCGTCTCCACTTTTGATGTAAAGAATGAGATAAAATTCCTTATTTTGCTCAGGCGGTGAGAGCACCACGGATGGATTCATAAAGTGCCCAGCAAGCAGCAAGGAACGCACTTAAGAGTCTCAGTAACAGACACTGCACCAACCCTTCTCCGAGGTGGGCGCTTCCTGCTTGTGTTCTCGGGAGACAGAGGTCCCAGCAGTGCAGTATGACCGTCATGTCTCAATAGGATTGGACTTATTTCCTTATTTCACTTTTAAAGCAAGGAGACTCAGTGGAAGGAGCACACTGAACCCTTTTTCCGTTTCTGCTCCGAGCTACCCATGTCCCATCGGATCCTCCTTTCTCTTTACTGGACTCCATCCTTGAGGACCTCATTCCAAATGTTTCCAATCTTCCATTACACTCTCTACATTCACAATCCTTCTGCAGCATTCCTTTCCTTTTCCCTCAAGCTAGGCCATTCCCATTCTCAGTGCATTTCTGTCCTTCGTGTACCAGTTAACATATGGGGTCAGTTAAAATAGTCAATGGCTGACAAACATCTAGTAAAAGCTGATTAACTACAGCAAGTTCACTGTTGAGCTGTACAACCGGGGTGAGTACAGTCTTTTTTGTGGAGCTTGTGGAATCTAAAACATATGCTCCTTGTCCTTTTGAAGGGCCATCTGGAGCCAGGTGGTGATGCTGCACACCTTTAATCCCAGCACTCAGGAGGCAGAGACGGGCAGATCCTTGAGTTGAATGCTAACCTGGGCTACAGTGAGTTCCAGAACAGCCAGAGCTTCATAGTGAGCCCCTGCCTTCAAGAAAAACAACAAAACCAAATCTCTTTGGGGCAGCCTACACCTAGCTCATACTGCACCAGTGGAGTACTCCCTTCTCAGCCATTCCTGAAACTCAGGTGTTGCACTAAGCTGCTCCAAGCTCTGTCAGATCAGGGTGGCAGGAAGGGCAGCTGGGCAGCCAGGCCAGAGGGCTTTGAGATCCAGTTAGATGGCTCAGAAGGGTGTGCCCCTAACAGGCATAGGTGGGTGAAGCCTGAGCGGCTGAGGGGGTCCATTAAGCCTACCCTGCTAAGACCTGCCAAGATGTGTCCTGGCAGAAAATTTTCTTTTCTCTGTTTCTCTCTCTCTTAAATAATCCTCCTGAGAGGATCCGAGCAATACATGATTACTGTATGCTAGCTTGCAAAACCATAGACAGAGATTTCATCTTCCCTTAGTTCCTATGCGCTTCCAGGATTCACATCAATAGGTTTTGGTCAGGAAACCAAGGATTAAATTTTAGTTACTTGTACCAAGTTGCAGAGCTCTTGCTCTTAATATTTTTCCTCTGGGTCTTTACATTTATTTATTTAATGATCTATTTATTTTTATTCTTGGTGTATTGTTGTTGTTTTGCTTGCCTGCATGTCTGTTTGAAGGTGTTGGATCCCCTGGAACTACAGTCAATTGTGAGCTGCCACATGGGTGCTGGGAATTGAACCCGGGACCTCTGGAAGAGCAGCCAGTGCTCTTACTGCTGAGCCATCTCTGCAGCCCCCTCCTCTGGGTCTTAACAAATGTCTCAATAATTGTATAAAGTTCTTTGTTTCAGAGGACCGACTGGAACCCATGATTATTTCCACTCTCTCACTTAAGGTCCTGAATTCTTCCGTTTCTATTTAAAGAAAAATGTTCTTACCTTCTCCGACTGCCAAGCCCCTCACGCTGGGTGCTGGTGGTGGGGATCTGTGCAAACACCAGAGCCCGCAGAGTGTTGATGCGAGTGAGGCAAGAAGGAAATCGGGCTCACCACAACTCAGCAGCAGGTATTGGTTCAAATCCCAGGCAGTTTATTTTAGGCATATTTAAGTACAGTACAATTTTGGAAAATAGTTTCCTGGTGACAATAAACTCAACCCCATGAGTGCAGTAAAGCTTAAGGTACCACTACATCCAAACTCTCTGCAAAGTACATGTGACCTAGTCCATAAAGATGGGCTCTATAGATTGAGAAAAAATGCTCAAGATAAAGGTGTTGGGAGGAAGAGTCATAAAAGCCTGGGGGAGTCAGATGTGGCCTGGCCCTACAGACAGCACAGGTCACCACCAGGCTGTTAACTACACCCAATCCCAGCCATCTGGGCAGAAAACAGGTTATCTCTTCTGTTGGAGAGACAGCCTGTGTTTAACATCCCTGGTTACCCTAGTGCCCTCTCTAACTACCCATGTCAGCTGAGCTGTGGGGGTCACATCATAGGAAATCACAGGGCACGCTCACTCAGTCCCCACCTCCACCCCCGAGGGAGCCTTTCCAACAAAATAGAGTGCCGCATACCCACAGAAGGGAGAAAGGGGGCCCACTCCTCTTGGGAGACAGGCCAGGGAAGGTCTTTTTGGAAGAGGGATATTGGACTGTGGCTATCTCAATGAGCCGAAGTTGTCAGACAGCTGTGGGGGCGGGGTGGGCGTGGGTACAGCCATGCAAGCAAAAGCAACAGGATGTGCAGGGCAAGGAAACGGGAAAGGCACGGGGAGAACCTAAGGCCTTAGCCTGGACCCAGTCTCAGAACGAATAGTGCTGAGTGGGAGCCGGCGGGCGCTGGGTTTCCGAACCAAACAGCTCATGTTCCTGAATGCTTCCTGGGCTGAGCTTGCAGTTACAGACGTTCGGAAGATGAGCTGTGATCTACTCAGGGCACCGTGCAGCACGCAGTCATTTCACTAACCCAACTGTTATCACTGCTTTCTCTTGATCCTAGAGACCCAGCTCCTATGTTACGAGCTGCGGCTATTTTTCATTTGTGGGAAATTAAGTTATTGGGGGGGACATGAGGCTTCCAGTGGAACAGACGGGACTGACTGCTGAGAAGGTAGTAGACACCCATGTAAGCCTGGTGTAACTTCAAGTGTCTGCTGTGGAGGCAGTTGGCACCAAGATGGACGTGATGACAAAGCACAGGGATCTAGGGTAATGGATGGCAAGACGGTAAAGTGCCAGACTTTGATTCTAACCCGAGAAGGAAGCAAAAGGGGCCGGAGTGTAACTCAGTGGGTAGAGTGCTTGCTTAGCACGTATGCAGGAGGCGGAGGCAGGAGGATCAGGAGTTCAAAGTCACCCTCAGCTACACAGGAGTTAGAGGCCAGCCTGGGCTACATGAGACTGTCTCAAAGAAAACCAACTAACCAACCAACCAACCAAACAAACAAACAAAAAGTGACTAGGCTCAACCCACTGCTGCCTTAAACTTTACAAAATAAAGCATTCTTCTAATATATATAAAATTTTATTTTTATGTGCATTGGTGTGAGGGTGTCAGGTCCCCTGGAACTGAAGTTACAGACAGTTGTGAGCTGCCATGTGGGTGCTGGGAATTGAACCTGGGTCCTCTGGAAGAGCAGCCAGTGCTCTTAAACACTGAGCCATCTCTTCAGCCCCTAAATAAAGCATCCTTTCTTAGTTTTTTAAAAAATGTGCATGAATATTTTGTCTGTATGTATGTCTGTACCACATGCATGCCTGGTGCCTATGGAGGCCTCAGTAGGGTACTGGATCCCCTGGAGCTGGAATTATAGATGGTTGTAAGCTTCCTTCCGTGTGGGTGCTGGGAACTGAACCCGGGTCCTCTGGAAGAGCAGCCAGTGCTCTAACTGCTGAGCCACCTCTCCAGTCCCCAAACACACTATTCAAAAATAAAACAAAACCAAAACAGATCACCAAGAAAACAACAAAAGTGTCTGAACAAAGTCAGAAAGTAGTCATAGCAGGGTAGTTACACATACAAGTAGGAAGGGTGCCTATCTGCTTATGGTTAAAGCAGTTACGAAAGATCCTTTGGTAATGGTTTGTTGGATTTTTTTTTTTCTTTTGGTTTTTTGAGATAGGGTTTCTGTGTGTAGTTTTGGTGCCTGTCCTGGATCGCTCTCTGTAGACCAGGCTGGCCTCGAAATCACAGAGATCCACCTGGCTCTGCCTCCCTAGTACTGGGATTAAAGGCATGCGCCACAGCTGCCTGGCTATCCTTTGGTAATGTTAACAAAAGACATACCCACGGAAGACAGTCGTTCGTGGTCAACAAAGGCAAATTTCCAGTTCAAGTCTTTCTCACACCTGTATCCTTGGATGTGTGCAAGCCCATTTGTCTTTCAGTTTTCAGTAGCTTTCAGAAGCTACATTACAAAAGTGTAGCAAAATTCAGTGAAGACACATACCTGGGTTTTGGGGCGTGGTGGGTATGGAGACCAGAACCTTGCCAGGCAAAAACTCTTACCACTGAGCCTTATCCCCAGTCAGGGAAGATGCTTTTTGAAGTACCACTGCCACAGTGAAAGTACCTTTGGCACATTATCTTAGTGCACTACAGATAGCCATCTCGAGAATGATCTGTTTCTTAACTTACACTGTAGTCTGATAGACGAGGAAAAATGGAAATGTCTGCAATATTTTTAGTCTCTGACAGCACACAAAGTCAAGATATTCGCGGGATTATGCAACTGTCCTCCGCACACCCAACAGCTGTTAACTATTCTTTTTCTCTCTGTGTGTGTCTCCTCCCTGCCCAAGGAGCTACCTGATCACATGCTTGCAGACGGGCATAAGCGGAAACCTGGCAGTCACTGGGGAAGAGCAAGCGCCACTTTGGCCCTTTGCTCATTGACTGGTAGGATACCCAGGACCCCGAACTGCTTTAGTCCCCGGCCAGCGCGGGCAGCTCCGGCGGGTCCCGGGGGGGCTGTACCCGTACCTCCCGCCCCCCAGCCTGCAGCCACTCCCTCCAGGCGCCCACGGCAGGGAACCACCCGCCGCCCGGAACGCTCCCACTAGCAGCCCCTCGGTGGTCCAGCCGCTCACCCGCTTCGGCCTGCCGGGCGCTCGGCAGGAGCGGGGTGCTGTCCGAGTTCTCCTCCTCGTCGTTCATCGCCGGACCCCGAAGCAGGGGCCTCATGACGCCTGGAGAGCAGATGTGCTGATGTTGTTCCTCAGCCAACAGAGCTCTCGGGAGGACCGGCCCCGGGCCCGCTCTGGCCGGGCGAGGCAGGATTTGGCCCCGCCCCTTGCGTCACCCAGGCCCCGCCCAGCCCCGGCCGCTGGTTCCTAAGGTGCCATCTTAGCTCCGGGCAACTCCGGCGTGGGCGTGGTGCAGCAGGGGTGGGCGTGGCTGGGCTGGGCTGGGCGCTTGCACCGTGCGCCGCGGGCGGTGGGGGAATCTCTAGACTTCTCTGTTCCCCTAGCAAAAGCTGGGGTACACCGCTCCTTGAGGGACTGTGGGGGGGGGGCGGGTAACCTGGAGGCGGCGACGGGGCTTTCATCACGCAGTGATAGGGAGCTGGGGAAGTGGACAGGGAGTATTTGACCTCCGGATGTCTGAAGTCGAGTTCCCGACTATTAGCAGTCTTTGTTCTAGGACAGCAGGTGGATTTTGAAGTGGAAAAGCAGTAAAGAAAAACACGTTCTGTCCGACGAAACTGCCTATTTCACAGATGAACCCTAACGTAGGCACCTGCTTTTTTCCCCCCATAATTTATTTATTTTTATTTTATGTGCATTGGCGTTTTGCCTGCAACTAGGTCTGAGTGAAGGTGTCCGATTTTGGAGTTATAGACAGTTGTTAGCAGCCATGTGGTTGCTGGGAATTGAACCTGAGTCCTCTGGAAGGGCAATCGGTGCTCTTAACCACTGAGCCATCTCTCCAGCCCCCTCTCCCTGCTTTTTCAGTCTTGCGGATTGAACCCAGGGCTCCAAACATACTAGAGTGGTACCACGATCTACATCCCCAGCCGGCAGGCCACATGATGTTCAAGCATTGAGGTTTTTTTCTGTAAATCTAATTTGGACAGTTTTTCCTACTGCTGACTCTCAAAAAGAGGAACTGGGCAACCGCCCCAGTCAGCCTTGTTGTGGCCCTTGGGCCTCTGAGTAATACAGGCCATATCTGCAGACAGATGGAAAAGATAAGATGTGGTAGATGTCCTTGGAGAATTCCAGGCAGACCAAAGAATAACAAAGGCTTGCAAGTCAGTAAGCCCAGGTGAGGTCCCCTGTCTAGAAGGGCTGAGGAATTCTGAAGACATCCCTAACTCCTGGGCTAGTGAACGCTGGGCAAGTTTTCAAGTTAAAACAACCATACCTTGTAGATTTCAAATCGACAGTTGTAGAGATAGGCCCCTCCAGCCCGCACACACCCACCTGGCAAATCCTTTTAAAATGCATGTTGTTCAGACAGTAACTCTGGTGTGGCTAATTTGATGGGTCGGTTTGCTTGTCCACCACGTGGGTGGGTTTTTAATGAATTTGAAAGTTCCATTAGAAAAAAAAAAAAGACCAGCTTCCCTTTTCTTATCTCCTTCCCCTGGAAGATGGGGAGAAGGGATCCTTCAGGGGACTGTCTTCAGATTTCATTAGCAAGAGCCCTCCCGGTTCTGTCCTGTATGAGCCAATAGCTTTGTCCTCCACTCTCTCTCCTCTCTCTCTCTATTGATTCTGTTTCTCTGAGAAAAGATTGCTAATGTCCTTCTCGGTGAGCTCAGGGAATCAGATTCCAATAACCTTGAAAACTTTCCCGTTAGAGCAGCACCAAGTGTCCCTAAGCACACTTTTCACTTGAGAAGGTTCAGGTTACAGAAAAGTTGCAGAGTCGATACAGAGAGTTTGAGGGAGGATAGAAAGGCAGAGTTTGAAGGAACATGGGAAGGGAGCCCCTGGCCCCCAAGTCTGGGTGAAAGTCTCCTGCCAGCTGAGTTAAGAATGTCTGCACGAAGCCGGGCGGTGGTGGCGCACGCCTGTAATCCCAGCACTCGGGAGGCAGAGGCAGGTGGATCTCTGTGAGTTCGAGGCCAGCCTGCTCTACAGAGCTAGTTCCAGAAAAGCTAGGGCTACACAGAGAAACCCTGTCTCAAAAAACCAAAACCAAAAAAAAAAAAAGAAAAGAATGTCTGCACAATTAACAAAATTTGCTGTGAAGGTCATCTATATTGTTCTTTTAACAGAGATATTGTAAGTAATGTTAAAATAATAATGGACCATGCCTACGGCCTAAACATGTGCATCCTTCAAGTATGGCCTTTCTCCTTTCCCAGCTGTCAGCTTGAGAAGTTTCTAGGACCCTGACAAGAAGGCTCTTTTAGGTTAGACCCTTGTGCAACTTTATGACCCATGGCTTTATCATGTCAGACTGCAATCCTGTCTCAGGTACCTCAGCAGGCACTCTGCAATCTCCTTTACAGTCTCAGACTTTCTTTGTTTTTGCTGACCTTGTCAGTTGTATAGAACCAACCAACGATAAGAAAAGAAAATCTAATAAGGTGTTGACATTTCCCCCGGGATCATCTCAATATGCTCTTCACTCAGTGCATCCATTTGGAGGCCCTCTGTGTAGAGGATGAAATCCAGCCTTTGGTGTAGAGCGCAAGGCCCTTCCAACCCCAGGGATGCTTCCAGGCTCCCCTTCCTCCATGCCGTCCTTATCCTGTGTGCTTTATACATCGTTCTATGCATTCAGTCTTGTGCATAAATGTAGCTTGCTTGCTTCATTTGCATACGCTGAATTGCTGTTCGCTCTTTGAAGTTAAAATGTCACCTTTGAAAAAAACATTTTTTAAAATTTTATGTATGAATATTTTTACTGCATGTATATAATCGCATCACATATGTGTCTGGTGCCTGCAGAAGTCAGTAGAGGGTGTCAGATCCCCTGGAACTGGAGTGACAGATGGTTGTCAGTTGCCATGTGGGTGCTGAGAACCAGACCTGGGTCCTCTGTAAGAATATACTGTTCTCTTAACTGCTTAGCCATCTTTCCAGCCTCTGAAATGTCACTTTTTTTGAGACAAAGTTTCTCTGTGTAGCCTGGCTGTCCTGGAACTTGCTCTGTAGATCAGGCTGGCCTCGAACTCACAGAGATCTGCCTGCCTCTGCCTCCTGCGTGCTGGGATTAAAGGCGTGCGCCGCCGCCGCCGCCGCCGCCGCCGCCGCCGCTGCCGCCGCCGCCGCCACCACCACCAGCCAGCCACCCGGCTTAAATGTCACCTTTTATTTGACAACTCCTCCACAGTCTCTCTTAGCCTGTGCTCTTACGTATGTTGTACAGACTTTCATGACATCACACTGTTTGAGAGTTGCTGAAGACAGTTAATTAGACTGTGGGGTAGGTCTTCAATAGCAAAACCTTCATGTTTCCATTTCTAGCTCTATTATTATGTATCAGGCAGTGTCCTGGTTGCTGTGGGGGTGAGTATGTGAGGCATGCAAACAAATTTTCTGAGACATGTTCCTTGAAGGAGATTCCTTTGTACTGTCCAAAGGAAATATAAGATATTTCCTAATGGTTATGAAAGTTAGGGGACACATTTTCATTTCTACATTTGTAAGCACAAGGGACACATGAGTATTGCATTCCAGAGGAGGCAGGATAGTGTTTTTAGGAAGGAGTTTTCAAATCTGGACATACATTCCCAGGTGTGATAAGTATCTTGGCTGTCAACTTGACTGGATCTGAAACTTGAGAGACAGAGTCTGAGCACACCTATGAAGGATTTTTTTTTCTTTTTCTTTTGTGAACATTAGTGTTTTGCCTGCCTGTATGTCTATTTGAGGGTGTTGGGTCCCCTGGAACTGGAGTTACAGACAGTTGTGAACTGCCATGTGGGTGCTGGGAATTGAACCTGGGTCCTCTGGAAGAGTAGTCAGTGCTCTTAACCGCTGAGCCATCTCTCCAGCCCCTCAGGATTTTCTTGATGAAGTTAACAGATGTGGAAAATACCCACCCTAAATCTGGGCAGCACCTTTGAGTGGTGGGCTGGTTATAACAAGGTCCAAGGGGAAAAGGTTTTGCGTTTTGCCTGCTTGCCTTTGTGTCTTGCTGGTGAGTTCCTCATCCCCCTGTGTGAGTTCCTCTACATTGTTGCCGCTGCCACCATTTCTTACTGATGAAAGATCTCAAATGCTGTGGCCTTCCAATATGTGCTGAAGACGTGTGGCTCTCCAGGAATCCTCCAGGCTTTCAGCATCAATTGGGATTGTCGAGCCGTCCAGCCTCCCGAATGGAGCAGCTTACCAGATCTTAGCTTCCCCAGTGTAAAGACAGTCACTGTGGAACTGCGCAGACCATACTTAAGCCCAGTCCCTTTTGCATACTCACTGTACCGGTTCTGTTCCTCTAGAGGACCCTGACACCTGACACCATGTCCTTCTTCTTCCAGGAAGCCGGACTGTCAGGTGTCCTTTGATAGTGATTAAAACAGAAACAACGCAAGGTTAGTAAAAACGCAGTTTTCTGCTATGTTTATGATAGCATGTGTCCATTAGCGGAGTGTGAATCCCTCCCCTTAGTGATTTCCAACTTAATTGGGAAATTCTTACCTCGTGTAGAGGTGGTTGTTTATTTCTTTCTTGTGGTACCAGGGGGTTGAACTCCAAGCCTTGCTAATATTAGGAAAGCCTTTATTTACTTCTCTGTTATGTCCCTAGCCCATGAGGATTACAAATAAATATTTTATCACATTTTTAAAAATTTGGGCCGGGCGGTGGTGGCGCACGCCTTTAATCCCAGCACTCAGGAGGCAGAGGCAGGTGGATCTCTGTGAGTTCAAGGCCAGCCTGGGCTACAGAGTGAGTTCTAGGACAGGTGCCAAAGCTACACAGAGAGACCCTGTCTCAAAAAACAAAAAATAAAACAAAAAAATTTTTTTCTGTGTATATATGTGAGCATGTGTACATGTTTGTGTGTACATGAGTGTGTGCATGTGTGCATGAGTGTGTGCATGTGTTCATGAGTGTGAAAGCACATGGATGAAGGTCAGATAATTAATGTTCAGGAGGTACTAGTCTCTCTTCACCATGTGGCTCCTGGGGATTGAACTCAGGGTCATCAGGCTTGGAGGCAGGCCCCTTTACCCACTGAACCGTCTTGCCCGCCCATAAATAACCATTTTAAAGGAGAGGGCAGGCATATGGCAACTGAATGAGGTGAGCTAAAAGTGCACATGA